CAAGGGTGAGTCTTTAACCTTTAAATCCCCCATTCTTGCTTAAGCTTTTAGACCCTTTTGCATGTTGTTTTGAGCTTAGCTTCCTACTGCAAAAAGTTCTGATTTTTGGCCCTTAAAATGTTTGTTTAAGGTCACTTTTTCGTTGGGGGTGATCTATCCCCTCTTAGGCCTTATTAGGCCTTGTTTTGAGCCATCCTTTTGGGCTCTTGTTGTAGCCTTTGCATGACCTTTCTACCACTGAAATCCAAAGGATTTTCAGTGGTGGAAAGGTGGTTTTGGAGTTCTAAATAGGAGAGGGTCATCCCCTCTCCTTGTATTTTGAATACTTGCCATATATGCCTCATGTTTGAGCATGTATTTTTAGCTTGTGTTAGCTTGTTCTTAGCATGTATTTGGGGTTATTTCAGCATGCCTTAGATCTGTTTTTGGTTGTCTTGATCATTCCTTGCATGCATAATACACTTGTAGTGTAAATCTTGTAGACTAGCTTTGTATGCTTCATGAAGTAGCATGTCATTCTAGTTTATGTTGAGTCCATTTCAGTATGTTCTTGGGCTTGTTTTACCATGCCATACCTCTATTAGGGTTTGGTTTGGTTAACCTTTGCATACTTCATGCACTTGTAGTGCATTTCCATGAAATAGCCTAATGTGTCTCATGTTTTAACATGCCATTCTAGCATGCTTTTGGCTTAACTTCATGAAGCTTTTGTCCATATTTTGACATGCTTTAGCTCTGATTTTGGTTGCTTTGACCATGCATGACTTGCTTTGTATAGCTATGGTTCAATCTAGCTTGTTAGCTCTGTGCATCAAGCCCACTAGTATGCATTACTTGGACTATTTGAATGATTTGACATCATTTGTAATGTGATTTCAGTCCATGTTTCATGCTCATGCACTTGCATTTATTACTCTTTCAATGCGTTGGAGGGTTTGCCCCTTTATGCCTTAACATGAATCATTGCGTATGTCTTAGCTTGCGAGCCATCATTTCAATGTGTTTTTGGGGTTATTATGCCATGATATAACTCTGATTTTTGTTAGTTAAGTCATCCCATGCCTGGTCTTAATAGGTGTAGTGTAATCCACTTTACTTGCCTTGTATGTATCATGCCTTGTGCCCCTCATGCTAACATGTTTTGGCTTCCTTCCAAGTATGTTTTAGACTCATTTTAACATGTTCTAGGGCTTTTTTGGGTCGCCTTGGTTACATGTTTCATGTTTTGTATGATTGTAGTACAAGTGCTCTTGCTTGCCTCAAGCTTTGAGCACCATAGCATGTTTCATTCGTGTTATGTACATGATTTGGCATCATTCATCATGTTATTTCAGAGTGTGTAGCATTTCCATGTTCCCACTTCTTCCACCCTTTGAGTGCCTCTAAGGGCTGTGCATTTATTGCCTTGTTTATGGCTTAGCTTGTATGCTTGCATGCCTAGGCCTTTGAGCCTCCGTCTTAGCATGTTTTGGTCTTTGTTTAGACCTACTTGAGCTCTGTCCATGCTTAGTTCATGCATATTCGCCATGTATTGCATGCCTCATTTGTAATCCTCTTTATTAGCTTTAATGCTTTAGGATTCTTGCATGCTTTACTTGTTTTGTTTGAATGATTTGGCATCATTTCTTACCTTATTTCAGTGCACTTGGTGTTGTTACACTTCCATGTTTATCACTCTTTGAACACTCTTGAGGGTTGTGCTCTTGGGCCTAGTTGAATGGCCAATGCATTGTGCATGCATACCTTGCCTTTTGTGCCCTAATTTCATCACCAATGGCCACTAATTTGGGCATGGTCGAGGTCTACCCCTTTTGGTTTAAGTCCATTATGCATTATGTATGCCATGTAGTTCATAGCATTGAGTATGCCATGTTATTTGCATGATTAATTGAGCATTGTGTATGCTATGTAGTTCATAGCATTGTGCATGCTAGTATGCTAAGTGCATCTTTGCACACTTGTCCCTTGCATGTTTGCATGCTTAAGTTGTATTGCATTGAGTTGCGTTCTTGAGTCACATTGTACATGCCATGTTTTGTGTTTCATTGTGTTTGGAATAAGTATTAGTCCAAATGCGGGAAACAAGGGACGTTTCATGCTGAAAGCGATGAAATGTGCCTTAATTCCTGGTCGCCGACGCTCTTGATCATACAAGATAGAGTTCTAGGGTTTATGTGTTTACTTGTGCATTCATTTCATATTGAATTGTGTAACTTCACCTCTCGGCCATCATGCATTGAAATGCGCGATTGGTGGCCCGAGGGTCAAGAACCTACACTCCCTTGAGTTCATAACATGATAGGGAGGGTGATTGTGTACACATATCTTGCAAATACATTGCCATGCCATTTCTTACTCTCTGTTGCAGCAGAGTGAAGTCCAGCAGCAACAACTGGTCGGCCAGCCAGAAAAACTAGCTGGCCGACCACTTTTCCTGGCTTTCAACAAAGATAGGTGGTCGACCATGGCTGAAGACACCAACAACTGGTCGACCACCCTCCTACAGGTCCCCGAGATGTGTTAGAAGCTTTCTGGAGCTTGGTGCAATGTCCTGAGAACAATTGAAAACAGAGGCAAATCGGGGCATCGCATTGGATTTCCAAACGAGGCGACCGGGCTTGCATGCAGTCTTCTCCTTCTGAGAACCTCCTGCTTTTATTGCTTTCCTTAGCTACCATGCTTAGATAGCTAGCTTTTGCTTTGTTTTGTACCTTAAATAGTTAATGCGTTTAGCTATTTAAATTTGTTTTGTAATAATTAGTTAACCAGGATTAGTTAATTAATTGTGTTGTAATAATTAGTTTAATTAGCTTAGATTAGCTAATTAGCTTCTTATTCGGTCCCTCCGTCGAGAGGGCCAATTGTTGTAATAAGCGTGCGTGTGTGTGATGCGTGTGTGTGATACATGTCTTCCAACCCTCATTTCTTTCTTCCTTTTACTTAACCGCTTACGATGGTTAGTTTTAGGGCATGTTTCATTTAGCATACCTTATGCTTGTATGCGTGCATCATTCATCTGTTTTGCATGCACTGGGCTCGGCGCATCATACTAACTGCATTGTATTTCAATACCTATTTGAATACGTGTACCAAGTTGCATTTCATATGCCATCCTAGGATAGCCGAGCCTATTTCTAGTTGCACTTTTGCATGTGTTGCATTAGCCATCTTAACATGAACTAGGATCATGCATGATTTCTAACTAGTTCTCTATTTTGGCTCAGAGTACACTGTGAGTGTTTACGCTTTAGCATACTGCATGTGTGTTATTGACTGCCATGAAAGCATGCTTGCCATGAGGCTAATTGCTTATTTGATATAACTGCCTGAATGCTTGTGGGTGAAGGTTGGATTACTTGAATTGGAACAATTCATCGAAATCCTCGATTTAGCCTACTTGCAAGTAGCAAATTTCAAACCATTTTCAAAACGAACATGCAATGTTTTGTTCCAAATTAGGCGATCTAGTCTATACTTGTATGATGTGCGCATCACGTAGTAAGATTAGCTAATTAACCGGAATAAGAGCACATGTGTTTTCAAAAGCGACATACCATGTTTAGTACAAGCCGATCTTTGATCGGGCGAGCGGGGGTGTTCATTATATGACCTTCCCCTCTCGTACCTAAGTTTCCGAGCCGAGACAACTTTGGTGATGACGGACACGTGGCCTTAGGCACGAGTCAGGGTTTTCTAAATTCCCCCAAAATAAAATATTTAGGTGGCGACTCTGTATCTGGAAAAGCAGTCCATGTTTGGTACTTCTTTCTAAAAATTAGTTTTCCAAAACGATTTGCCGAATTTGGACTTTTTGGTGATTTATCAATCCTACATCGCACATTGTGAGATTAGATTTAGAACTGTGACATTGAGTCCGAACTATAGTAGCTCAAAACAAAACGAGATTCGCGCCCTCGCAGTGCGGATGTCGGAGAGTTCCCGGGAGCGCGTCTACACACCCCCAACCCGAAGTTTTGGTGGTATAGATTGTTAATTTCGGGTACAATTTTGTGAGTGTAACCGAAACATAGAGCTGCAAAGTGTTCTTGTAATTCTTATTGCGTATAATGGATTTTGATCGTTTCTCCACCGTAGATGTAGGTATCTCGCTGAACCACGCATATTTGTGTTTGTGTGTGCTTGTTCTTCTTATTATTGTTTATTGTGTAATTGAAACTATGTTCTTACACAACAAATTTAAAATTTGTTGAGTGAAGAAAATGTAGAATAAATGGAATGATTTGTTTTTTTAATTTTTTTATGGGTAATTGTATAAAAAAAAATGCTTTTTTAGTAATGATTATTCAGTTTATCACATTTGTTTTCATTTCTTTTCTTTTCCTTTTCCTTTCACTGCTGGAAATTGGGTTTTTAGTGGCGTTTTAAAAACGCCGCTATATCTATCAAAAACGCCGCTAATTCATTTTGTGGCATTTAGTACCAAACGTCGAAGCTGCGGCCGTCGCTGTAGCTTTGTGACGTTTTAAAAACGTCGTGATATTAGTGTAGGAGGCGTTTTAAAAAACGCCGCCAAATCTCCCACTATACACAAGCTGACGTCACCGATGATATTTAGCGACGCTTTGAAACGCAGTCGTATCTGTTTAAAAAATATGACCGTTAGTATTGAGAGTTTAGGAGGCGTTTCTAGAAACGCCGTCTTATCTTCTTTTTTTTTTTTTTGGAAACGCCGTTATATCTTTTTTTTTTTTTTTTTTTTGAGATTGTGCTAGTTTTATTTGATTAAATTAAAAAAAATACCTGTAAGAAAATATTGAATTTGATTTCTCATTCAATTAATAAAAAAATAACTATAATAAAACTAACATACAAAATATTAACTCCCATTCAAATACCTATAATAAAACAAACAGATAAAATAATAACTCCCATTCAAATAACAAATGAAGCATTAATTCAGTTTCATATGTGCAATAGCAACCACGAATCGATAGAGCGACCATAGCTCATTCGTTGTAAGCTACCTTATTACTAACCTATTAACATACAAATAAAATAAAATACATAAAAAAAAGTTCGTGATACCAATACAAGATTTTGATACAACTGGCATACAGAAGCCAATGCAATGCTCTACCTCTTTAGCCTGTTGTTTCTCCCAGTCCTCTTTAGACAGAATATTTCAATAGTTATCCAAATACAATGGCAAAAGGGTTTTTTTTTCTCCAAATACAAGAAGACTCTACAAATATACATTATGACATAGACTGAATGTATACGAATGGTATGTTAAACTTTGCAAAGCCAATCTTGAATAGCAAGTCTCAGTGCATGGTTGGGAGTGAAATGCAAGTGATCCAGTCTCAAATTGGTCATCGGGGAAGTTTCTCGGCCATTTTCCAACCATCCACGCAGAGCATCTCCTTCGTAGGTGAATCCATCGGCTGCCACCTGAGGATCGTGCATTATCTCCTGAAAGCAAAACCACCAATAATCCGAGTCAGGTACGGTTCTGCAAAAGATTTTCACAAAAATTCACTAGATTAAATAAATCATCTTGCTCGAGAAAAACCACAGGAATGAAATAAAATTCCGTTCTCTGTCCAAATAGGACCTACAAGGCAATTCCAATTTAGCTACTTCAATCACTTCTGAAGCTTAGTTTGTAGTTCACTTAGGGCATACACCAACTTGAAGATTCTTCATGAGCATTACTGAGGCTAATCAATCCTGCTCACAAGCACAACGCTCCCACTTGAATGAAAAAAGAAAAACCTTGTAGTGTTCTCTAGAAAGCTAAAAAGCATCACAACACAATAGTTAATGCTACATAGCACCTATTACAATTGATGAGCCTTGGCAAGTCGAGCCCAGTATTGCAAATCAAGCAACATTTGGAGCATCAGCAGGATCTCATCTTGTTCAAGCCAGAGAACACGCTCTTGAAAAACCAGTTAGAAGCAAGCTCAAGTTTGAGAGCTTCTATTTGCACACTACAAAAATTCTCAGTTCACACAATTTTTTTTGTTCAGATATCAACTACCGAACGAAAACCCAGTTCAGTATTCGATATTTAACAATTGGTTTTTGTTTGGTCGTTTATAATCGAATAATTGAATTTTGTTCAATAGTAATATCTGAAGAGAAAAATTGATGAATTGAGAAAAAGGTCGTGTACAAATAGAAGCTACCCCTCAAGTTTACAAACTAAACGATAACTCATTTAAAAATAAATTTTGAAAAATCAAATCAAACTGACACTAAACTTTTAGAAATAGTTAAAAAAAATTATTAAAGGCGAAAATAAATCACCCAAAAAATTAAACACCAATTCACTAGTATTTTCTTTTCAAATTAAAGAGATTTTATTTTTTATACAAAAAAGTACGTCAGTTCACCAATCTGACTTGGAAAATTACAAAATGTGGACTGGGATTAAATTCATCCATGAATAAGCCAAACGGATGTTACAAAGTAGATACACTATAATTTATTGAAACATATTGGGGATGATTCTCTCAACAAACCACAACCCTAAAAACAGTTAACAGTTATTCATAGTACATAAACTTATTATTATATTTTGGATGATACGCACCGTGAGAATTTACAGAGACGAAGTCAAATGAGTGAGATCAATGACGCCAGAAAGCACTGCCTTGTTCCGTTCTTTTACCTTTACCTGATATACAACCCTGCGCAGTTTTTAATTTTATCAAAGTTCTCTTCACATGAACACAAACAAAAAACCACAACTCAGGAAGAGAAAAATTGAGCCCAGATAAAAGAAAAAAGAAACAGAAAGATCTACCTCAAGCCTTCAAGCCACATCTCCATGATCAAGGTTTCACCAGGGTAGACATGTAAAAGAAATCGTCCCGATATGTTTTTGATCATGTTTGGGTCTCCCCTGCAGATACACTTGATGATAGCCCTGACCACAAAGCCCATTGTGCACAACCCATGCTGTATCGGGCGAGAAAATCTTTGGAAAAATGATAAAACAAAATAGAGCAAACTATGAGGGCAGATGCATGACCAATATAATAAAAACAAATATAAATATATACTATTTTAAATAACCGAACCATTTAAAAGGAATACATCCATCCCTGATTCCCCCCACTTATTATCCATCACAGAAAACTATCAGTAGTAATTTCACAATTTAAAAAGAAAAAAACAAGCCATCTCATGAAATTCTATAGATGATCATCAGTGTGCAATATATATTAATTCCTTGAAAATGCAAGGGAAAATAAAAACAGATTTATGAGATGTAATTTCATACTCCCAGGAACTCAAAATATAAATAGGGGGAAAAAATAAAATGAAAAAAAAGAAGTTTGCACTTGACTTTTTGCAAACCATGTACTCCGTGCATGTACCTTTTGTCTATTCAACTGTTTTCTGGAAAATGGCAGTCTATAATGTAGCAAATGAAAAGGGACTCGAGTTAACTGTTGTTATATGGTCCTGGAGCAACAGTGTGAGAGAAGGTAATCTGATTAAATGTTTTCAAAGGAAAAGAGATGTAATCACTGTTGCTAAAGGAAATGACCCACACTACACAATCCAAGACCTATTTTCCCTTGCCAATGTAATTTTTATTCCTTCTCTCTTTGTTTTATTTTCCAGTCATAGGCAAGAGTTAAATGTGAGCTCCATCCCCCCCCCTTTGTACAAAGCATATGCAGTTTAGATGCTTAGCTCTACAGAAGTTTTTTTGGGGTGAATAAGCTCTAAAGAAGTTAAAACAGCCAAGAATGCATCAATAATCATTGATTATTTATTATGTTGGCTGAAAAAGCATAAACTTGCCAATGGGAAATGAAGCTTAGTCCCAGGTAAAATTAATATCTCCAAAAATGCAGTTGGCTTGATCCATGAATCTAGGAGTCAATAGCAGCATATCTAATAGAGAGTAAAAAAAAATAAAAAAAACATGGCAAGAGAATGCAGTTTTGAATTATTTGGTGCACTAACCCTGCAATTTCTGCAACCTTAGGATCTGAATGCAATGGATTATAATCACTGAATAGCCTATACAGCAATGCCTGCATAACAGCAATGAAGGTTGAGAATCGTGTCTCACATAAACAACAATGCACAGAGAGAGAGAGAGAGAGAGAGAGGTTCAGAATCCTTCGAAGACTAATATACCAAACAGAAATACACAGAGCACACCTTCCATCTCAAAATGATGTTTTCGAAACTTGGGCAACGGAGGGTCTCTCCTGGCATTAGTCTACAAATCCCGAAATCACATAGCTTGCAGTTGAGATTGGAATCAAGAAGGATGTTGTCCGGCTTTAGGTCGCCGTGTACAATCTTTTCAGGTTTGAACGAGTGCAAGAACAAAAGGGCACTTGAAATTTCAGCAATGATTCGTACTCGAACTTTTTAGACAGAATATTTCTTTTTAGAGGAAAATTTCAGCAATGTAATAAGCCTGTAGAAATTGGCTGTGCCCTTTCCAGAAAAATCATAAGCCCTTTCCAAGTAATAAGACAGAATTAGCTTCTAACTGGAAAATTTCAGCAATATTGAGCAAGTAATAAGCCAATTTCCGATTAGATTCTCACACTTTTTTCGGCAATATTGAGAATCCAATTTCTCAATATTGAATCCAATTTCAGCAATATTGAGAAAGAATCCAATTTCAGCAATATTGAGAAAGAATCCACTTTTTTCACAGCCAAGGAAAGAATCCAATTTCAGCAATATTGAGAAAGCCTGTAGATAAGCCTGAAAGGGCACAGCCAATTTCTACAGCCCTTTCTTAAAAAGTAATTTTTTTTGTGAGGAGAATCTAATTGGAGCTTTCTCAATTGGAAAGGGCACAGCCAAGTAATAAGCCTGTAGCCATAAAAATCATAGAACTTTCTTTCCTTTACCAACAGAAAAACTAACTAATTATCTATACTATCTATGCTATTATATAAAGTGCACGTGTCAGTTAGTGTGAATGCTTCCTCACACTTTTTTCGTTTTCCAGAAATGCCCACAACTGCCAATGAGTTTGAACACTGCCATGTGAAGAATCAAACTGACTGAAATATTTTGATTTCCACAAACATGAACGGTTTTACAGACCTTTGCACAACATTGCGTGTGCACCTGCTGCTAGTAAGAGAAATGATGACAGAATTGTTATAATCAATTTGAGGGATACGAAAAAGGGGATATTATATGAGCCTGGAAATGAAGGTGGTTGATTGTAGCAAATGCACCCAAGCTGTTGTAACCCAATCTGAAGTACGGGTTTCCAGCTTCTGCTGCCATGTAAAGAGCAAGCAAGAAACTCACCCTGTCGATCCTCCGAGGCAGGCATTCAAGAATCCAAGGGATCAAAAGTACATGACCATACTCAATAGGACTAACCTGTTGACGCATAATTAAAATAAACCAGCTTAGCTAAAACTTCTTCTATACACAATCTTAACATGAAGAGCAAGTAAAGCAGGCATACATTGATGGCCACGACACTTGGAGAATTCTCAACATCGATGGGTGCATTTGGGAAGAACTGGGTTTCATTGTCTTCATCACTTGCTTCAAACTGGAAAAGCACCTCTTCCTGTCCAACTTTAGTGAAGTTGAATTTGTTCCCATCAAAGGGCTGTAGGACCTTATCAACATGAAACTCAGTTGGCCTCTTCTTAAGGTGTCTGCCCTCATTCAGCTGTGCAATGAATCCAGATGAACCATATTGAGCAAAGTACTCAACTAAGCAGAATTTAGACTGAAAAATTGGATTTGAGAGTGCAGTTTCACTAAAATGAAAGATCATTGATTGGCTGCCACTACACCACTTAATTAGATAAAACATGTGTGTATTTTGGGAGATAATAAAGATATATATATATATATATATATGCACGCGCACGTGTGTGTATTTTGGGAGATAATAAAGACTTTTAACATTTTCCCTTCATTTTTTTTTTATCATTAAACCCAGAAGACTTTGAGGCGCATCAGTTCTATTAGCCACTGCTCTCATAACAGACACAGACTCGGCGGTGGAATCCCTTTCGCAACAGCCAAACATAGCAGTATCATTATTAAAGTCTAGTTAATCTCTGGACGTAAATCTGACCATGTATTTTAAACTAAGTGTGTGTACTATTAGAGCAGTGTTTGATCGTTGTGGTTGGTCTCTCATAGGCAAAACATCAAACACCTCGTGGCCATGGCAGTAAAGCGAACATAACATCACTTTTCTTCACCCCCATGGCCAGTTTGCTTCTCATTTGTAATTAAGGATCAAGATGAGTTTCCACTTGTTCACAAACATTCGGCTCCCAGCGTAAAAACAGGAATAAATTTAGGCTATGTTTGGTTGTATGATTATTTTTGATGAAATTAAATAAAATAATTTTATTCAAAACACTGCATAAATTATATTGTGAAATCATATGAAGTGAAATATTGAGTATATGATTTGAAATAACCATCTATGTATCAATGTCAAGCTCTTATAAGTTATAACCCTAGGCAACTCAAACCAACATAATAGCATCTTAATCCTAATTAAAAACACAAAGCACAAGCAAGTGATGGCCAGCCTCCACCGTTTGAGAATGTATGATAAACAAAACCATTAACATTTAAATTATCAATCTGCTAATTTTTCAAAGTAGAAAACATACTTGATTAGACCAAGCATATCTAATTTGATAAAAAGGCCAGATCGGCTGTACAAAACCATTAACATTTAAATTATACATGCAAAATGTACAACAAATCAGCTTGTAAAATCAAAGCAACAACAAATTCAAGTGAATTGTGAGTAAAATTACAAAGCTGAATCTCTGAATCACAGAGCTGAACTGACAGAGATAACTAGGGTTTAGACAGCAGAGAGAGAGAGAGGGGGGGAGAGAGAGAGTAGCTCACCGATCTGAATCGATTTTGAGAGAGAACTTCGAAATGGCTCGGATGAATCACCGATCTGAATCGATTTTGAAAGAAAACTTCGAAATGGCTCTGATCTTAGACAGCGCAGAGGCAGAGAGAGAGAGAGAGCGCGAAAGTGAGAGTGAGAGTGAGAGTGAGAGTGCGAGAGTGAGAGTGAGATTTCCGCGTATACTCCTTGCTTATCATATTCAAAATAAAGGTGAAATAGGAGAGGGGTTGAATGAAAACCATTACAAGGCGTTTAAAAAACGTCTTTGATTCTTGAAACGGCGCCGTTTCAATTACAGAAAAATAAGACGTTTATAAAACGCCGTTATATATTAGAAACAATGGCGTTTCACAAAACGTCGTTAAAAAAGCGCCACCAAACCCAACTATTGCACCACCATCTCTTACCCTGGATCAACACTACCGTCATTACTGTTTACAACCATTTGATGTGTCACTGAGAAAGGTTGGAAGATATTGTCGTGGTGTAGATAGATAAATTTGGTAGCTAGTGGATGAAAATAAGTATGAGAATTTCATTTTAGTATTAGAGGACATTTGGGCAATTTTATTTTTTCTGTTAGATCAATTGCAGAAAAATTATGATAATGGAGTATTTGTGATTTTCAAAACACGAGGGGAGAATTCTTATTTTTGACAAATATGAGGGGGTATTTGTAATTTACCCTAAACATAATGTACTAATAAGTGCATTATTAGTGGTAGTAGCAACAGGGTCGTAGCGGCAGGGCGGAGGTAGCAGTGGTAGTGGGGGATAGTTTTTTTTTTTTTTTGTGACAAAAAGAGGATTTTATTGATGAAACACATACAAAGTACGAAAAATTATATTAATAAAGAGGAGTTTGGAGCTAATTCAAACTCTAACCTCCTAGTTGGTGAGAGACCAACACACAGAGCAAAAGAAAAGAAAACCAGCAAGCAATCCAATAAAATAACACAGCAAGACAAACTAGAACCTAACACCAATCCTCAACATCAGCCCAGCAAACAACAACCAGCATGAAACACCCATAAGTTGCAGCCACTACTAAGCAATCCAATCCTACAAAACTTAGGAAATACCAGTGCAACATCAGCAAGAGAAAGCCAGCACGTCAGCACGACAAAATAACCAAAAATATGATTGAGGAACCAATGGATTAATCTCAGCAAATACCAGTGCAAACATCAGCAAAAATCAACACAGCAGCATGACAACTAACTCCATTCAAAATAGACCTATAACCCTACTGCCATGATCTCCATTCAAATTAACCAAACATTTCAGGTTGCTTTCGTTTGCGGGGAGACTGACTTTAATTAAGTCAGTCCTGAGTAATTTACCTCTTTACTATTTGTCATTGTTCAAAATACCAGTGGGAGTGGCAAAAGAAATTGACAAAATCCAGGCATGCTCAAGTAATTAGGTTACTTTCCTGAACACTAGTTTCACATTTGACTTTTATATGGTTCTTTCTGTTAATTTCTCTTCATAACAAATATTTATTATGCAATGTTTTCCCCCTTAATCTCATGTATGTTTTCCACTTTCTATTTTGAGATACTAATTTTGTTAGATTTCCAAAATTGCCCACTATAAATCAGCTTGTAAAATCAAAGCAACAACAAATTCATGTGAATTGTGAGTAAAATTGAAATCAAAGGCTGCAGAACAAGCTATAAATCAAGTATTTCAAGTGAATTGTGAGCAATATACTTCAATCTAACAAATAAGTGATATTATAGTCAAAACCGACATCATCAAGAAGAAATTGTTAGGCACACCATATTTTTGGTTATGACATACACAAATCAAGCACAATATTAGTTCAGCTTAAGAGAGAGAGAGAGACAGAGACAGAGACAGAGACAGAGACAATGGAGCTCACCGATCTGAATTGCTGAGATGAAATTCGATTTCGATTTCGATTTCGAGAGAGAACTTTGAAATGGCTCTGATGAATCACCGATCTGTTTCGCTGAGACCGAGCTGAATCTCTGAATCACAGAGCTGAACTGACAGAGATAACTAGGGTTTAGACAGCACACACAGAGAGGGAGAGAGAGAGTAGCTCACCGATCTGAATCGATTCACCGATCTGAATCAATTTTGAGAGAGAATTTCGAAATGGCTCTGATGAATCACCGATCTGAATAGATTTTGAGAGAGAACTTCGAAATGGCTCTGACTTCGATTTTGAAAGATCTTAGACAGCGTAGAGAGGGCGAGAGAGAGAGAGAGAGAGAGAGAGAGAGAGAGCGCGAAAGTGAGAGTGAGAGTGAGAGTGAGAGTGCGAGAATGAGAGTGAGATTTCCGCGTATACTCCTTGCTTATCATATTCAAAATAAAGGTGAAATATGAGAGGGGTTGAATGAAAACCATTACAAGGCGTTTAAAAAACGTCTTTGATTCTTGAAACGGCGCCGTTTCAATTACAGAAAAATAAGACGTTTATAAAACGCCTTTATATATTAGAAATAATGGCGTTTCACAAAACGCCGTTAAAAAAGCGCCACCAAACCCCATATTTCCTGTAGTGTTTACCATAAGAATTGGGTATTTGAAGTTCACTTTTTTTTTTCTTTGTTTTTTTTTTTTTTGGTTTTTAACCCTTTTTTTTTTAAATTTCAAAAACTTCACATTTTTTGGTTCTACTTGACTAGATAGACCGATAAAAGTAAAAAATAATAATAATAATAATAATTTTGAAAAAAAAAAGTCTAGAAAAAAAAAAACCAAAAAACTGTTTGGCTTTTTCAACTTATTTTTAACTTTTTTTATAAAAAAAAAAAAACTTTTTAGATTCATTTACACAAGACAAACTAGAAAAATAAAAATTAAAAAAATTGACAAAATTTTTCAAAAAAAAAAAAATACTAAAGACAAAAAAATGTAAAAATAAAAATTGTGACTTTTTTTAGCTGTATGTCAAACACCATAGTATGAAAATCATTGACAACACACTGGTTTTTATTTTTTATTTTTTAAAATTAGTTAGATGACAATTTATAAATATCATGAATTACATCAAATTAATTATATAATTATGTTAAAAAGATTCGACAATACATTTATTAAAATAATACCACAAAGCACGAGCCCCTACTAGTACGCCAATTGAGAAGACTTGGAAAGCAACCCAAATAATTCTTCTATTTATTTAAATATTACTTTCATTTTGTTATATCCCAAGCATGTTAACTTTATTTTAGTATAATTATTTTATAATATTTCTATTAATACAACTAACAAAGGACTAATAAAAATAAGATAAAATATTATTACTTAACCTTGTAAAGAAGCAGAGTGTAATTATATTAAGCCTTGTGGAGTCTAGTGTATTTTTTAAAAAATTTATTGAAGGTTAGTGTAATTCTTTTCTTTTTTGTTTCTGCTATAACAAATTTCAAACTCCTCCTAAAAACTTATTGTAAATTAAAAACTCAATAAGCAAGAACACCCCGGGAAATTATTCAATAATCCTGAAACACCACGTGGTCATACTCCAAGTCAATCACCAATTATCTAGCCCCGTGTTGTTCCCCCATCCTTAACATAAATTGTGGGTCCCTACCTTTCTCTACCAATCAAAATCTTATGGAGTACCACGTGTCCATACTCTTGGAATACTGAATAATCACCCAAAACACCCCTCTCTCAACTTCTAAATTATCAGTTTTTTTTTTCAATTTATTTAAACTATTTTTGTTTAGTAAGTTATAAATAGATTTTACACCAAACAAATTTACACAAACTCTAAAATATATATATACACAAACTCTAATATATATATATATATACATACATAAACAGCTCCAATAAAATAGTCTCAATATCTTAGGTTAGTGTGGGGATATATTTTTTGAGTACCAACACGTGGCCAAGGTGACGCCGACGTGTCAGCCGAGGTGCCAAGTGTCCAGGTTATGACGCCGAGATGATCTCGGCTAGGCCGAGGTTATCTCCGAAGATATCGGAATCCGAGATAAGCGGATAAGGCATAAGAGTCCTAGGGTGAGAAAGGACTTTAGTGTGGATAAGGATAACACTCTTAGGGAGTTTATCTTTATCTCTTGAAGAGTCCAGGTTAAGCATTGAACAGAAGTCCATTGAAGCTAGGCTTCTATGGGGACTAGGATGGAGTTAACTATAAAAGAGAGGCACCCTTAATGGGTCTAAGGTATGCAATTTATATTCTGAACGGTGAGTTTAATACTATTGATTATCTTTGAGAGATATACTGACTTGATCGTCGGAGTGCCCCCGGGTGGACAAACCACCGCCAGAATCTTCTCTTTCTGTTACAGGTCAGCCAGGTGTCATCTATTCTGCCAGTGCTCTCCAGCTGAATACTGAGTTGGGCAATGTGATTGGAAAATCACTCACACAATTTGGCGCTGTTTGTGGGAAATAAAGAATAATAGATGGCTAGCGACGGACAGAAGGATAAGGTTGGGGATGAAATCCCTGTTGGGAACGGTAATCACGTTGCCCCTAACATGGAAGAAGATGGTTGCAACGAGGAGACTCAAGACCAAAATCACGGAAAGAAAGACGTCGGCCAGAAGGACGACATACCAAATAAATCAGATCGAAGCGGATACTACAACGAGGATGACCTCCAGGTATGGAAGGATAGATGCCTGCGGAGGGACGATGAAGTAAAAGAGATGGCGAACAAATTGGCGAACCTATAATCGGTCGTCAACTTCATGATGCAAAATAATGTCATGCAGCCACCATTCCCGCTGCAGGACACGCCGATTCCAGCGGCCAATGCCCAGAATGGAGGACAGAAAACTATCCCTATAGCCCCCCAGCATCCCAGAAGCGAAAGACATTCTCACCGGCCTTCAAGAAAGGTCGGGCGTGGAGAGCTAGGAAGGGAAGAGTCACGAAAGACACATCGAACTAAAGAAGCAGACCCCAAAGAACATCGGCATGTTCAAAGGCAGGAGCTGTGCTTCGATACAACTCATGGGGAGGGTCAAAAAGGGCCCACAACAAAGCTGAGAGTAGTATGCCGAAAAGACTAAAGTCGGGAGATAGCCGAGCTCCTGGGCGGAGCAAGGAAGACTTGAGAGATTACCTCAAGAGGAAACAACATAATGCCGATGCTGAAGTAACTTCACTTGTTAAGCCGAGAACACCATTCTCGGTAGAATTGGATAAATTTGAGGCGCCGAAAAGATTCAGTATGCCGAGGTTCCAAATATACGATGGTAAGTTAGACCCCAACTTCCACGTTAGATTATACTTGAACTCAATGGCATTGTATAGTGGGAATGAGTCGTTGCTCTGCAAAGTGTTCCCCACGTCCTTTCGGGGAGATTGCATCAGATTGGTTCCACAAACTGTCGAAGGGAAGTGTGAAAACCTGGGAAGGCCTGGCCGAGATGTTCGTGGCCAGGTTCGTGACAAACAAGCTACAACCATTAAGGGTAGATGCATTGATGGCTCTGAAGATTAGTAAGGATGAAGGCCTCAGGGCCTATGCAAAAAGGTACTATGAGGTGTTCAACCGAATACTAGAGTGTAATCAAGAGGTGGCAGTCGTATCTTTCAAGAACAGCCTAAAAGATGACTGTCCACTTCGAAAATCTTTGGCAAAAACATTGCCGAAAAGCATGGAGGAGCTGATGGCCAAGATAGAAAAGTATGCCAGAGCCAAGGAAGACACGCCGGGGACAAAGGCGTCCAAACAAGAGAAGAGAAATGGTTCACCGAAGCAAAGCCGAGATAATACTGGACACGAGAAGACAAGAGCTTAGCCCAAGTGTGCAGATCCCAGATTCCAGATTTGGAATCCCAGATCCCAGAAGACAAGATCTCGGCTTAGATGATTAAGTCTGAAAAGAGAAGAGCTTGGCTTAAGTAAAAGAATTTTTTCCATAAAGGAGTATGTGGAAGCCACGCTGGGGGCAGATCACTTGTCCATAGGGCCATTACCCAGGGGTATTGGTGGCCCTACATGCAGAAAGATACAGAAGCCTATGTAAAGAAATGTGAAAAATGCCAAAGGTTTGCACCACTGATACACCAGCCAGCAGCAGACCTGAACCCAGTATCCAGTCCTTGGCCGTTTGCCCAATGGGGCACGGATCTCGTTGGGCAACTACCCCAAGCAACTGGACAAAGGAAGTACTTGCTGGTAGCAACAAATTACTTCACCAAGTGGATAGAAGCTGAGCCCCTAGCCAAGATCCAAGATGTGGATGTGAAAAACTTCTTATGGAGAAACATCATCACCAGATTTGGGATTCCGAGAGCAATAGTTGCCGACAATGGAACACAGTTTGACAATAAGCTAATCAAGAGCTTCTGTGCAAAATTCAAAATCAAGAATTACTTTTCTACCCCAAGTTTTCCCCAGAGCAATGGACAAGCAGAAGCATCCAATAAAGTCATCTTGGATGGGATTAAGAAGAGGTTGCAAGCAGCAAAAGGAAAATGGGTAGATGAATTGCCAAGTGTACTCTGGGCATATCGAACTACGCCGAGAAGATCAACAGGGGAATCCCCCTTTGCCATGGCTTATGGCACAGAAGCTGTCATTCCACTAGAGGTCAGCATCCCAGGGAGCAGAGAATGGAACTAATGATATACTCTTAACCCGAGATCTGAATCTTTTAGAAGAAAGAAGGGAGAAAGCTGTAATTCAGCTGGCGGCATACTAGCAGCAGCTTGCCAGAGCTTATAATAAGAAGGTCAACCCAAGGGAGTTTCAAGTCGGCGACCAAGTCTTGCGAAAAGTCGTCGGCAACAAGAAGGATCCCAGGAAGGGCAAGCTTGGCCCAAACTGGAAAGGACCCTATAGAATCACTCTGGTATTGGGCAATGGGGCATATCGGCTTGAAGATAATGAGGGCAAAGAGTTGCCAAGACCTTGGAACACTTGTAATCTGAAATTTTTCTATCATTAGATTTTTCTTGTTTTTTGCCGAAGTAATGAATAAAAATTTTAGCAGAATTCTTCTACATTTATGACTGATAAGATACTCGCTGATGTTTCTGGAATACATGTATAATGAGAACCCAAGTGGAACTTAGGTTCACATTAGGGGGTAGAGCAAAGAGAGATGATGTTTAACACTTGTTGAAATTCTGAGAGAATTTACAAGTTGAAGTTAAATCGAGATGATGTTTAACACTTGTTGAAATTCTGAGAGAATTTACAAGTTGAAGTTAAACCGAGATTATGTTTAACACTTGTTGAAATTCTGAGAGAATTTACAAGTTGAAGTTAAACCGAGATCATGTTTAACACTTGTTGAAACTCTGAGAGAATTTACAAGTTGAAGTTAAACCGAGATGATGTCTAACACTTGTTGAAATTCTGAGAGAATTTACAAGTTGAAGTTAAACCGAGATCATGTTTAACACTTGTTGAAATTCCGAGAGAATTTAGAAGTTGAAGTTAAACCGAGATCATGTTTAACACTTGTTGAAACTCTGAGAGAATTTACAAGTTGAAGTTAAACCGAGATCATGTTTAACACTTGTTGAAATTCCGAGAGAATTTACAAGTTGAAGTTAAACCGAGATCATGTTTAACACTTGTTGAAACTCTGAGAGAATTTAGAAGTTGAAGTTAAACCGAGATCATGTTTAACACTTGTTGAAATTCTGAGAGAATTTACAAGTTGAAGTTAAACTGAGATCATGTTTAACACTTGTTGAAATTCCGAGAGAATTTACAAGTTGAAGTTAAACCGAGAAAGAAGATTGATTTAACACTTGTTGAAATTTTGAGAAAATTTACAAGTTGAAGTTAAATCCAAGGTTATAGAAATATCTATATACGTACCGAGCTGACTATGTTACCAAGACTTGGAAGATAATGGAAGACATAAGTCTTAAAAAGTAAAAGCAAACACTGGTGAAAATATTTGTTACAATGTTTTCAAGTGTTAAACCGAGATCGAGATAAGCAAGGTCAGAAGTTTTGTTCGAGGAATGTTAACCTGGGGAGATTGCATAGTTAAAATGTATGTTGAAGACATGCAAATTGAATTCTAAGTATGGAATCATACAAGGTATTAAGAAGAGGGTAAACATTCAAAACACTTGAAAGAAAGAAGGAAGTTGTATTCATAAAAAGGCACATCGGCGATGTAAAGAGTTTACATTACTTCAAAAAGAAAAACAAAGTACAAAATACAAAGAAAAAAGAAGTCAAAGTTAAGACTCTTCAACGTCGACAGATGGTTGGGTCTGAAGTTCGGACGACTGCTGGGAAGACACCGCGGCAGCCTTTTCCGCCGTAAGCTCAGTATCAATTTCTTGAAGAGTTTAATCAAGGCTCTTGTTGGCAAGAGGCGCGTCCATAGATGCCTGTTCAGGGGTAGTTTCTTTGGGCACCTCATCACCCTCCTCATCTTGAGTCAAGTCCAGGACTTGATCATTCAGAAAAGGAGACTTGGCTCCAGTAGCGTCTTTCGACTTCCGCACCAAAACCTCCTCCTCAGATTCAGAGTCGTCATCGGAATGAGTTGGAGCTGGAGGGAATGGAAGAGGAATGGCGTCGGCATTCTTGAGCGGCGAGTCCTCGGGGACTTCAAGCTTCTTTAGAAGAGACATCCAACCAAGGAGCGTCTTGCAGTTCTTTTTGGGCCTGGGCCGTTTTATCCTCGACATCCTTTTTTTTGGCCTCAAGCACCTTTTTGATGGCCTCAGCAGAGTCTACCTTTTCTTCGGCGTCGTTTTGAGCTTTGATGACAACCTCGGCCTGATCCTCCAAAGTCTTCATCTTTAACTGCAGATTTTGTTAGTCTTTTGCAGACTGGAGACCTCCCTCTTCTTCTCGGCCAACTACTCCTGGTTCCGGAAAGATTGTACTGAGAAAGAATGAGCATGCTGAATGGCCTGAAAGTAAACAGAAGTTATTAGAAAATATTGTAAGTATGTAATGAAGAGAAAGAAAAATTTCCTAATAAAGAGACTTACCTTAACAGAGTGCTGGAGCATCAGAGCATAGTTCTCATACTCGCTCATCTCAGCGTTTCGGTCGAGATCGCCGGGAAGGAGCAGAGCAGTACTAAGGGCGACGGCGACATTAATGTCGTCGGCACTGTTGCTAGCCATAACTGGCTTATCTTCTAAAGTAATTTGGAGGGCCCAGGGGGCATCGCGCTTTGAAGACCCCGAGGTAGTTGTAGCGGATGACCTCGGCCTCTTTGATTTCGGATGGTTGGGCCTCGGCACGCCTCTTCTCTGCGGTAGACTGGGACTTATCACTCTCAGCCAGTTTGGAGATCGGCAAAGTGTCCTCAATATCAACCTGAGTCACCTTTGCCTTTGGCTGAGCCTTCTTAATCCTTTTTATCTTCGGCTTTGGCTGGGTTGGCACTAATTGGGCATCAACTGAATCAGGGATGCTGGCTAAGAGATCCTTAGCAACTACTTTTTGGCGGCCCATTTCAGCAGCGAAAATAGTTCGTCACCGACGTTGACGCTGAGATATTGGGATCAGATAAGGAGCCGAGGTTGACGGCTGCTCGGCTGGATCAGAGGTCGATCCTTGGTCTTGCCAAGATGTGGAAGCAGTCTGAGAAGTTGTGGCAAAGGGAGGAGACAGACTCTTCTTCTTCTTCTTCTTCTTCTTCTTCTTGGGGACGTCGGGAAGAGCTGACTTATATGTCGGAATGAAATTAAGTAGTAGAGGGGCCTTCCGTTTGAGAACTGGCAGATCCCAAAGTCTCCTCAAGTCTTTGCCGGGAAAGAAAGACTGACGGAAGCCCTTTGGTGGCTGAGGAAGAGCTGCAAGCAAAACAGACGTCAGAAGCAGATAAAGTATTAAAGACTTTGAAAAACTTTGAAAACAACTAAGTATGGACGTAGGGCACTTACTGTTGCCCTCTACAAAAACGGTTCGAGGAAGAGGGTAAAGATGAAGGTCCTCATCCGGAGCGAACTCCTAGTTCCCCGAGGTAATAAAGTAGTCGTCTCCAGCTCCCTTGTTGGAATCTGGGAGGTCGGCTACAATTTTGTATTCTGTAGATCTCGGCTTAAGGTAGTAAACGTAGCCCGTATCTCTTTTGAGGCTACACATGGTGTAGCAGTACTGGATATCGGCTAAGGTAATCCTAGCGTTTTCTTGTTTGGCTAAGGTTATTATGCCATTAATGACTCGGTAGGAGTTGATAGCAAGTTGCATTGGGTTCAACTTATAATAGTGGATTATCTTGCAGAAAAGGATGTTGAGTGGAAGCTGGAGTCCACACTCAATAAAAGCTACGACAGGAAAGGGAATGGAGTCAGTTGTGGGCATGATAGAGTCGTCTTCCCCAGCCAACCTCAGATGAACGTCGGCCGGGATGTCGAACTCCTGCCTAAAGTGCTCTAATTTGGCCGGGGTGTCTACCCTATGCTTCCACATACCCATGATATCGGCTTAAACTGAAGGGGTTGGATTTTAGAAGGGGTGTTTCTAAAGGGTTTTATGGACCTCGGCTACAGCTAGAAGATACACAAAATCTGTGGGGAATCGTTTCAATTTTCTCTAACAATTGTTTTGAGTTCTACAAACAAATCCCAAGCCTAGATCTATGGAAACGAAGATTGAAGGCACGAATCTGGAAAACAGAAAAGCAAGAACGCGCTTCAGAATCAAGAACAAAGATGGACTATCAAGAACATTGTAAATACGAAGGTAACAGGCCAAGAATAGTGGCCGAAATTAACATGAGTGTAAACAGTGTATATTTAAGAAGATGATTTGGGTAAAAACAGAATCATGAAGCGAACAAGTTCAAATATAGAGCGGGATACAAAATGCAAGATGAAATATCAGAAATATGAACAAGATTGCAAAGACAGCAGGTAAAACAGTAAAAGTTCAGTAAGGTAACAAGAAATTGAAACCAAGAGGAATAGTAGCTTACCAGAGAGAGGGAAGCCGGAATGAGGATTGTCGAAGTCTGACGACGGTTGCGAAGGCGGAAGATCGGTGAAAACCACGCCAGAAAAGGTGAACAACAGCGATGGTAGAGCTTCAGAAGATTGAACAATGGAAGATTTGAAAAAGCTAGAGAGAGAAAACTTCAAAGACGATGGAGAAAAGTGAGAAAATAAGAAAAGGGGGAAAATTTTTTGTTAAAACTTGAAACGGCGGCAAAACAGAATTAATGCGCCTAAAACAACGTGAGCGTCAGACAGCGCACGTATGCGCGAGATGATTTAGAAGCGTGTATCAAGTATGATCTAGTGAGGGAAGGACACGTGGCTAAAACGGTTGAATTGTGATGCATGACAGCTCATACGCGTGAAGGAGATCTTGGAAACTTTTAAAAACCTTAAGGAGGCATGTCGGCCTATAATGATGATCTCAGCTGAAGCCGATGTACTGGCAGGAAGTACCGATATAGGTTTCATCACCTCAGAATGCCGATGTAACCAAGGGGGCAGTTATGGGGATATATTTTCTGAGTACCAACACGTGGCCAAGGTGACGCCGACGTGTCAGCCGAGGTGCCACGTGTCCAGGTTATGACGCCGAGGTGATCTCGGCTAGGCCGAGGTGATCTCGGCTAGGCCGAGGTTATCTCCGAAGATATCAGAATCCGAGATAAGCGGATAAGGCATAAGAGTCCTAGGGTGAGGAAGGACTTTAGTGTGGATAAGGATAACACTCTTAGGGAGTTTATCTTTATCTCTTGAAGAGTCCAGGTTAAGCATTGAACAAAAGTCCATTGAAGCTAGGCTTCTATGGGAACTAGGATGGAGTTAACTATAAAAGAGAGGCACTCCCGATGGGTTTAAGGTATGCAATTTATATTCTGAACAGTGAGTTTAGTATTATTGATTATCTTTGAGAGATATACTGACTTGATCGTCGGAGTGCCCCCGGGTGAACGTACCACCGCCGGAATCTTCTCTTTCTGTTGCAGGTCAGCCATGTGTCATCTATTCTGCCAGTGCTCTCCAGCTGAATACTGAGTTGGGCAGTGTGATCGGAAAATCACTCACACAGTTAGTAAAAAAAATCAATATAAATTATAATTGGATACAAATCAAATCATTTTTTCATCACTGATAGCAATATGAATATGACTGAATTTTCAATCAAAATCCACATTAAAATGCTCTGAGAACGATAACACATAGCAACGAACACATCAAAATGAGAATTCTCAAGATGTCAAATGATTGACATCAAAGAGTTGTCCTAATGAAATCAAGTGGAATGAATTTGGCAGATGCGGCCTCTGTTTTGGTAGAGCCACAAAAACTTGTCGCATTGTTGGTCAGCATTGTGGACTGGGGTGTAAACATGCCAACGCCAGCTTTGCAACAAGGACCACTTCTTTTTCCATACGAGCCCTAGGAATTGCGAGGCGCGAAACCAATAATACTTCCAGCATTAGAACTCCAAAGCTATAAACATATGTGATGAGATCACCCGGGTGTTTCCCCATTAACACTTCCAGCTAGGGGTGTGCGCGGTGCGGGTCGGTGCGGTTTGAGAGAAAAATAGAAACCGTATGACGGGTGGCGGATTGATAAAAGTGTCACTAGAATTTGCCATTTTCCTTATCAAAAACCGGCGGTTTGGTTGGCAAATAATGGCGGATTTGCCTTGACGGTTCGGGTGGATTGGCGGTTTATAAAAAATATAATTTAAATTACAAAACTTAAATCAAAGAGTAAAAAAAAAGACGAGAGATACCGTGATGTTAATCATCTTGCGAAGCTTTCTTCTGATGCAGCAAGTGTAGCAACAACATGATAATATCAACGACTATGCCATTAGTTCATTACAAGTATCTGTGGAAGCTACAATGATCAAATACAATACATAAAATTCCCCTCGAGCAGTAATGTAATACTATATTCTAATGTATAGAACAACAAGCAAACTTAAGTAAAAAAGAATTTTTAGAATCTTATAAAATATGATTTAATAGCTGTGCGGGTCGGTGCGGTTTGGAAGAAAAATAGAAACCGGCGGATTGATAAAAGTGTCACTAGAATTTGCCATTTTTCTTACCAAAAACCGGCGGTTCGATTGACAAATAATAACGAATTTGCCTTGGCGGTGCGGTTTTGGCGGTTTCGGCGGTTTCGGCGGTATTATGCACACCCCTACTTCCAGCATTAGAGCTCCAAAGCTATAAACATCTAACTTCTCATTCACTTCCATTGTGTAAGCAAGTTCTGCCACAAAAACAAAGCTTAAAAAAAAAGGGGATAGAGGCAAAAAAGGAAAAAGAAAAAAGTAATGACAGTTTGTTCATAGAAATTTAAGAAGAAGAAGAATAGTTTAAAAAAAAAAGAAAAAGGCTTTCCATGTTGATTTGAATAAAAGTCATGCCATACCTGGAGCCGCATATCCAAAGGTTCCTGCAAATGTAGTCCAATTGGATGAGTGAGGGTTTAGAAGTCTAGCAGTGCCAAAATCAAAGATGTAAGCCACGTATTCTGAATCTAGCAGAACATTCTTGCTTGATATATCACGATGGATGACCGGTGGCAAGCAATCATGGTGCATGTATGACAAAGCATCTGTAAAACCCAAGTTGTGTGTAGGATTATTTTATTGGATAGATTAGTAATTAAATTAATTTATATGGGTCATTTATTAATATCAAAGAATTAGTTATGAGATGGCATTATATTTCCTATTACTTAGATGGGTAATTTTGTAACTTTGTGAAATTAGGTTAATAAGCCCATCTATTGTGGCTTTAAGTCTTGGAAAACAAACAAAACAGAGGCTATGAATTGCTCCATAGGCGGCTAGGGTTTGAGAAGGTAAAAGAAAAAAGAAAAGAAAAAGAGAAGAGAGGTTCAAGTGAGGCTACAATAGGGTTTGAAGGCAGCACGTTGGTGATTTTGGGACACCCATTGGTTAAGGTAAAATCTGTCTTTACTGTTAATTATTAAGTTTATGTTGAGGAATTTAACAATCAATGCATTAAGGAGATTTGGAAGATCTATAGGTGCCTACTTAGGTTTTGAGAATTGGGTGCAATGTGTAAGTGTAACTTTGGGTGGGTAATAGAAACAATGGAGTATTGTATCATGGGTAAAGGTGTGTTTGGCTATAAAGTTGGGTTGAATGGTTTGATCTCTTGGATATTAAAGTAATACATTAATCTAATATAGTGGTGCTTTTGTGGGTATTTGTAACATGAAAAAAATAATTAATTTATTTGAGATTTTATTTATTAGGTTTGTGTGATTGAAGTGATGGAATTGGGTGTTTGGAGTTGGTGTTGGAGTGTTATTTCTAAGAGTTTGAGGTAAGTAACCCTCTATCACTGTTGGTTCATTTTTATTCCTATCGAATCGTTTAAAATCATGAATATTTATTTATATCCTTTATGTTCTCTTAAAATAAAATATGGGTCAAGTATAAAACAACATCGAATATTATTATGAAAATTATTTGAATATTTGATGAAACTATTTTGAAAATTGTACTAAACATTTATTCTGAAAATATCGAATGTTTTATTTGAAAGTTGTGTATTGTTTGAATTTTGAACATCACTCTAGTCTGACTATGATTTGGACCCTAGCCAATGGGGGATATTTATTAGCACAGAAACTAGTTTCTTTTGGGGCTTTACCACCGGCCTACGTGTGGTTCTGGGCCTTGTCACGGGCTAAGTGACCGTAGTCACCAAGACTTGGGTTTTGTGAATTGCATCATTGAACCATTTGAATATCGAACCATCAATTTTGAACAACGAAATTTCATCGAATTACCTCATTGTCTTTTCAATTAAAATGTATTGCTACACTGTTTATTTTCAACTACGAAACCATCTTACAAAATAATTATCCACCCCCTTTCCATGGTTGCGATTGATCGAAACCTAGAACAAAAAAATATATGTAACGATTTTATAATATTTCATAGAGTCAAATTTCTCTGTGATATATGAATGTGGGAGCTGAAGGACCTTAGACATTACAAAATAATATTGTGGATCTCTTCCATTACTAAAAATGGGAGAGGGCCCTTAGACTAATTTTCCCAATTTTTAAATAGCATAATATAATTATATTATGCTTGTGGAGTTTAGTGTATTTTTAAAACTTGCCAAAGGTAAGTGTAATTTCTCTTTTCTGTTTTTGATATAACAGTTTTCAATCTTTTTCTCAAAATTTATTGTAAGTTAAAAACTGATAACCAGAAAACATAAGCAAAAAAACCCATCTCTCAACTTCTAGATTATCAACTTTTTCCAATCTATGTAAACATTTTTTGTTTAATCAGCTATAAACAAAAGTTACACCAAATAATTTAACACAAACTCCAAAATATATATATATTTATAAACAGCTCAAATAAAATAATCTCAATATCTTAGGAACATTTTCAATAATTTTTTCAACAATATTACAAACACAGAAATTATCAAGTTATAATTGGCTCCATTTTTTTTTTAGTAGACAATAAAATTCAAACCTCAAAATTTCTTTTAAAATAATTCATATATTATTCAAGATATCAATTTAGTGATCGCTTCCTTAATTGAGAAATAACAAAAAATTACAATTTGTTTTTTGTCGGTACGAAAAATCAATATAAATTATAATTGGATACAAATCTAACTATTTTTTTTAGCACTGACAGCAATATGAATATAATTGTGTTTTCGATCCAAATCCACATTAAAATGCTGTGCAATTCTAATTTTTACCATTACTCAAAGGATTGACAATTCCACAAATATATTTTAGATAACCAAATCAAACTAAACCATAAATTCCATCAAATAGGGTCGGCTACATGAATCATTCTTTTCCATTCGATTCTATCTAAGGACATATCGTTAGTCAAATTAAGGAAATTCATATCTTTATTTACTGCCCTAACCCTTGTCACTCTAGATCTGCCCCTTCTCCTAACACTTCTATCTATCATCACTATATCGCATCTCTTCACTACTGTCTTTGTTGATCTCCGTTGTATATGACTAAACCATCTCAATCTATTCTCTCTTAACTTATCTTCTATCGATACTACTCCTACCCATCCTTGAATATACTTATTTCTAACTCTGTCTTTTCTAGTCTTGACACGCATCCACCTTAAACATCCTCATCTCAGCAACACTCATCTTACCTACATGTTGTTTCTTAGTTGCCCAATATTTCGTCTCATACAACATCGCTAATCTAATAGTCGTTCTATAGAACTTTCCTTTTACTCTAGTGGGTACTCGTTCATCACATAGTACCCTAGACGCACTCCTCCACTTAAGCTATCCTACCTTAATTTTATAAATCACATCCACTCCAATCTCCTCAACCGTTGTGATAATTAATCCTAAATAATGAAAATATTCACTCTTTGGTAGTGCTTGGTTCTTAATTTTCAATTCTCCTCTATTTTCATTGTTACTGTTACTAAAATTACACTCCATATACTCTGTCTTAGTTCTACTTATCCTAAATCTTTTAGATTCAAGTGCTTCTCTCCAAGTCTCCAACTTAGTGTTAACTTCTTCTCTAGTCTCATCTACTAACACGATATCATTTATAAAAAGTATACACCATGGCACAACATCCTTAATATTTCTCGTCAACTTATCCATAACTAAAGCAAAAAGTTAAGGACTTAAGGTTAATCTTTGGTGTAACTCTACAGTAATTGGAAATTCACTTGTCTATCTAATAAGCAATCTAATAATGGTCACCACACATTCATACATATCCCTAATCACATCGATATAATATTTTGTCGCTCCTTTCTTCTCTAACACTCACCACATTATATACAAATATATTGTTGGAACAATCTTCTGTGTAAATAAAATAACTAGAAATAAATTCAAACAAAATAAATAAATAACATACCGGATTTATTTTGTCGAACCAAATAAAATTACAAGACCAAGTCGAGTGTGTGACACTCTGTCCTTAAGACAGATTCGCCCCGCTATGGTGCTTACGGTTGAGTGGCGTCTATCTCCCAGGATACAATGATCTTTAATCAATTTGTAGTAGCACTCCAAAACAAATTGTTCGGCGAACCAAACCTGTGATCTAACTCTCTGAAAATTTATTCTAAAACTAGAATGAAGAATAATGCAAAAGAAGGAAAAATCTGGACAACAAAGAGATCAAATTTGGACAGATTTTCTGATGTAAAATTCGGATACCAACATGCTAGAATAGATGGTATATATATAGGCAGAAAAGGTACCGAATGGGTATCAACATCAAGAAGTGAAAAGGTGCAATATTTTCAATTCAAATAATAGTTGACAGTTTTGATCTCAAATTCAAATATTTGAAGTGTTCCGTTAGATGTTCCAAATCTGTAGGAAAATTATTATTTACACTATTTCAAATATATATATATATATATATACATATTAAACTAATTAAATATATATATAAATATTAAACTATTGAAATAGTTAAATAAATAAAGAGGTACAACCTTTAGAAAACCACTTAGGAACCAAAAATTTGAATTTAGAATTAAATTAAATTCTCACAATTACAAACTTTAGGAAACCACTCAAGGATCCAAAATTTGAATTTAGAATTAAATTAAATTCCCACAATAATTTTTATTGAAAAAATTCAAAAGAATTTTATCTAAAAAATTAATGTTAAACCCGAAAACGACGTCATCTTCCCATTCACTCATAAATGGTTTTGACGTTCCGTCTTCACCACTTCATCTTTTCGGACCCACCCCAAAACACGTTTGGGGTTCACCCAAATTGGGTTAAAAAATATGCCTATATAAAACCATTTTTTCCAACATATATTTCAGATATCTATACTATTATATAAAAATAAGAATAAACATTGCCAAACTACAACAACTTAATTGTAATTTTCTTGGGTTTAGAGGTAAGTTTGGAGCTAGCAAGGAAAGAATGACAAGGTTTAAATCCCACCAGCTAAGCATCATCAGCCATGTGAATGGAAGAATCCTATAAGAGTTTTTGAATCAGTTTGGTAAAAAAAAAAAAATTCAAAAACTAATTTAGTGGGGAAATTTTTTTTAAAAACTTATTATTTTCATTAAAAATATATATATTTCTTAGGGATAAAAGATTTTTGTTTAAATTCAAAAATATCTTTTTCTGTGTTTATTTTTTTGAAACTAATTTTTAATTTTTCAAAAATAAAAAAATTACAAAGTAACAGGAATTGCCACAGAGGTGAGAATCTTATGTTCCCAAATACCACTCATCGAATGCATTGTCAACCATAGGATTTTTTAGGATCTGGAGACACAAAAATCTCCAGACACAAACACATGACTACCAATGCATTGAGACTGAAAATTTTGGGGATAGAAACTTGACTATTTGATGAATTAACTTGTCCAAGTGCAAACAAGGCAAGCTATCAGAGCCCCATTCTGCCTGGTTCATAAAAGAGAACTAAAATAAATAAATAAAAATAAAATAAAATAAAATAAAAGAAGATGAGAATAAGAAGACCGTACCGTTGCATTGGAGGTGTTCCTTAATTTGCAATGGCAATTCACCCACATATTAGAACCCACTCCCCCAAAGCTGCACTCGAAACTGCGGTCTTTATATTTCAACGAGCAGATACATAAAGCTAAAGACTGAAAAGAGGTAATACACAAGTCCAAACAGCGCCATTTTCAATAATAATTTCATGAAAATTTTGATTCTACAAAGGGAGACTGAACATTGGAGTTAAGAATGAAAGAATGTGCTACTCTAGAAAGTGTACAATACAGTTTGTCAACGTTAAATAAAAATAATAATCCTACCTTAAACTACAAAAACATGGCCACCACATAACAAAATCAGCCTTTCACTATGACTAATATCCCTATAAAATTTATCACTCAAATACACTATCCTAGTCCACTCAAAATCCAATGCTTTTTTTATTTTAGTTAAAACAACACATAATCAGCAGAGCAGTGATCCAGAACTAGCAATCAAAACCAAAATTCTGTACCTCACAGCCGCTCTCAAGCAGCTAGCTGCCTGCAGTGCTATGTGACCTCAGAACGAAGTAGTGTTCTCTTCATCTTATTGGCATTTGTCCTCTTGGAACAATTTTTATTTACAAACAGTATTTCAATGTCTTTTAGACTTTGAACACAGAAAATGCCACAGAAATAGATAACGAAGAGAATGAAAATCAAAATTTCAAAGTAGAAATGGGAGAACAAAAACACAAAACAATAGAGGGAAAATGAGAATTCTCAGGATGCCGAGCAGTTGGCATCAATGAGTTCTCCTAATGAAATCAAGTGGAATGAATTCTGCAGAGGAGGACTCTGTTTTGATAGAATCACAGAAACTTGTCGCATTGTTGGTCGGCACTGTGGACTGGTGTGTAAACATGCCAATGCTAGCTTTGCAACAAGGACCACTTCTTTTTCCACATGAGTCCTAGGAGGTGGGAGGCGTGAATCCAATATATCTTTCAACAATATATCGTGAGCAGTGGGTGGTGAAGAGGAAACAGATGTGATGAGATCGCCCGGATGCTTCCCCATTAACACTTCCAGCGTTAAAACTCCAAAGCTATAAACATCCAACCTCTCATTCACTTCCATTGTGTAAGCAAGTTCTGCCACAAAAACAAAGGCATAAAAATAGAGGACAAAGAGAAAAAGGAAAAAGAAAATAGAAAAGACAGTTTGTTCATCAAAATTTAAGAAGAAAAATAGTAGAAAAGGCTTTGCATGCTGACTTGAAGAAAAGTCGAGCCATACCTGGAGCGGCATATCCAAAGGTTCCTGCGAATGAAGTCCAATTGGATGAGTGATGCTTCAGAAGTCTAGCAGTGCCAAAATCAGAGATGTGAGCCACATATTCTGAATCTAGCAGAACATTCTTGCTTGATATGTCGCGATGAATGACTGGAGGTGAACAATCATGGTGCATGTATGACAAAGCATCTGCCAAATCACTAACAACATTCACCTTCTTAGTCCACTCAAAATGCAATGTTGCTTCATCATTACTCAATATCTTTTCCAAGCTCCCCCCTTCCAAAAACTCATAGACTAAAAATGAGTGTCGTGGATGCGAACAAAAACCATAAAGCTTTATGACATTACGATGTCGTATCTCTGTCAATGCACGAATTTCACTTGTAAAGCTTTTTAGGTCAGCCAACTCCCCATCTTGTGAAGAATGAAGTTTCTTCACAGCAACAACCTGAT